CAGCATGACAGTGATGGAAAGAAAGTCCAGGTGCTTTCAGAAAAATACCTATTCCCATGATTTATTTTTAAACCTTTCCTGTGTTTTCAAAGTTCTAGTGTAAGTGCTAATGTTTATTGCAATCAAAATACAAACTCTCATAAAAGATGTCTCGGGCTAGCACAGGTCTGTTAGGGAGGGAGAGAGGGAGGGAGGATTGCTGAAATGGTCCAGTAAGAATTTGGTAGTCTCTTTATGCCCTCTGTTGTAGATAACAGTAGAAATTGGAATGACCGCTGAAAGGTTTCATGACTTGCTGACTCAAAAATTAAACATCAACCCTTTATTATATAGAGAAATGATATACAAATATTTTGAATAATCACAAATCTGTTTAATCACACAATAATATTTCAGAATTTAAAAAATGTACTAAAATAGGGCTATCAGGCCTGGGCTGCCAAAATCTAGACCAGGGGTCCCCAAACTTGACAACTTTAAAACCTGTAGACTTCAACTCTTAGAATTCTCCAGCTGTCTTAAAGTTGCCAAACTTGCGGGGCCCTGGTCTAGACAAACAATAGATGACAGCAAAAAAAAAAAAATTCAAAAAAATATTTTGTAGCCCTACATTAAACAGCAATCTGCTGGACATAACCCCAAGGAATCAGGAAGGGTGGTAAATTGGAGAATTTCACATGACATGGATCCATTTAAGTCATTTATAAGGTGTTCCATCTTTTTTAGTATTATTTGCACCCATACATATTTATTTCCTCCATTTTTTTTCCTTTGAAGTTCATTACTAGGGCAAGGAATTATGCCTGGAACTGCATTATCATTAAAAAAAACAGGGATGGTACAATCTGATTCTCTTACAGTTATTATGTACATCACAGAAGCCAATTGTCTTTCCAAATAAAGGTTGATGTTATGAAACGGCTCAGAAACTCTGAATACTGCGAAGTTGATTGTTGTCAGTATCAATGAGCAAGTGGTTATTTTGTTCCAAACGGCACAAACCTGTAGTTTTTTTTCCCTCTATCCTCTTCCTATAAATTGCCGTATTTTTTGCTCCATAAGATGCATCCCCCCCACTCCCCAAAAAAGAGGGTAGAAATGTCTATGCATCAGTGCCAGTCCTTTGGTAAATAACAGCCAGGCTGCAGTAGCAGGGTGCTTTTACAGTGCTGAACTCCACGTCTTCTGTCTTTGTCATTGACCACTTCTTTTGTCTCTTTTCCACAGTGCAGGAGTCAATAGGCAAAGCTGGCACATGAGAGAACACCTATCTGTGGTCCTCTCAGGCTCCACCTGATATTTTTTTTCTTGTTTTACTTCTCTAAGCCTAGATGCATCTTACAATGCGAAAAATATAGTAATTAACTCTGGTCTAGAAAGTAAGAAGTCATTGAATGTTTATGCAATTATCCTCAGCTTATTTCTTACAAAGTGCCCCCTCTTCTACTTTTTCCCTTCCAATGCACCTAGAAGTACTGGATTATTCCTCTTCTGCTTCCAGTTTATTTCCTTTCCTTCATCTCTATTTATTTCCTTTAAGCTGATTTACACCATTTCTGAATTGTTCATCAAGTCTAAATTTCCTGGCAGTGGGGGGTTGTGGTTTGTTTTCTTTCTTTCTTTCTTTCTTTCTTTCTTTCTTTCTTTCTTTCTTTCCTTCCTTCCTTCCTTCCTTCCTTCCTTCCTTCCCTCCCTCCCTCCCTCCCTCCCTCCCTCCCTCCCTTAGCAGCAATCTCCATATTTTCAGAACTGTCCTCCTTTTTGTGTGATATAGTCTCTCTCTTCACTCATATAATTTCTTTTTGTCCCACCTTCCCTTCAAAGCATCCAAAACTACTGGCAAATGCTAAACTTCATTGAACAGCTGGTTCAAAAGTTTTCATTTGCAGGGAAAATGCAAATGGAATGATCAAAGGAGAAGGATATGTATATTTCCTTGCAACATCCCTACGAACATTATGTATCCAGATGGCTTTCAAATGAACCTAATAGTTAAGCTTGCTGGGTGTCTAGAATGTACTCTACCTCAAATCTTCTCCATTTCCCCCTGAAATAGGGTTAGGGTTAGGAGGTGACATAACAATGGTGCACAAAGAGCAAGAGTGCATTCTTATACCAGAAAGAAATGGTGGAAAACACAGTGTATCCTTTGTGTGGCTGGCAGTTGCAATAAAAAAGCTACAAGGTTGGCTTGTCAAAGGGAATCTAGCTTCTCAGATAGGCATGAGGAATGGACACCCCTTGTAGAAATCCAGACATGATCTCTAACTACTATGGGATACATAATTAGGTGATAATTGTCAGAGTAGCTGTAAAAAGTCTTGTGTATTCCAGTTTTATTTTGGGTAGAAGTGGGGCTGCCTGTTGTTCTTGGAGAAACAGGATAGTCATAAATTATAAAATTCCATTCTACATCACCATTTAATTCTTTGGAAAATATGTTTACTCTGTCTTTGCATGCAACATTCTCTCTCCCTCTTTCTGGGCTAGACATTCAAATTATTTCTTTTTCCTTTTCCCTCTGTTTGCTTTCCAGACCATGATTACCTTAACTGAATTCAATGGGTCACCTCCTCATGGGGGAAATTTTTTCGTCTGCTATCAGCCTTATACCCATACCCATCCTTCTCCTCAAGCTAATTAATATCTCATGGGCAGAAACCTTTAGTTCTTGTTTCCTTCCCGCAATTAACTGTTTCGTTTAACATTTTAAACTTTCCTGGCTTACACAACTTCACTGCAATCAGATGAGTTTCACTGGTAGCCATAATTCACGCACTAGTAATCTCAACAGTGGAATTTAGTGATGTGCTCCAGAACATCTCACTTTGAGGTTCACTAGTGAGAAAATGCTGGAGTGGGAAATTGGACAATCTAGCAGGAGTTTATATTCATATCATTCCATTGTTTCTTTCATATCAAGCAATCAAATTCACAATGTTTGTCATGACATAGAAAGCCAGCCTTGGTTTAAGATATGAATACTTGATGGAGTACTTTCTTTCTTATGTATCTGCTAGAGGGCTCAGATCTACTGCTGGTCTCTTATTATGGTGCCACAGTTACAAAAATTAGCTTATGCAACCAACTCAGAGATGGTAGTTAAATATTAGAATAAACTTTAAATCTGTTCAATGAGACTTCTGTTTTAATTCTACTGATGTGTTTTATATTCTTGCTACCTCATATTTTTGTTATTGTTTTAGCAATTTAAAATATTTGCTTTACTGAGTTTCTAGTCAGTTGTAATTGCAAACAACTCCAGGTAGCATATATCTCTATTCCAAGTCAGGTTAAAACTACATAGGAAAAGCAAAGCATATAAATAATGTAAAAATAACACTGGCACTATGAATCATATTAATAAACTGAGTCCACTTTCCACTATTGGAGAAAACAAGCTCAAAACTTTCTAACCCCAAGGCCTGATGGAATAATCATGTTTTAATGGGCTCATGGAAACCCAGTCTAGGAGGAGCCATTCAGATATCAGAGAATGCTATTTCATGGAAGTAAGGCAGCAGCTGAGAAAAATATCTCCAAGGAAAGCTAATTGAAACATTATTCTTTGAGGACATAAAAGGGTCATAGCAGTCCTTTCAGTTTAGATCACAGAGGCAAAATATAGTTCTCTCTCTCTCTCTTCATTCTCATACATTTTTCAAAGCCATTGTAAATATATTGCCAACATAGGTCTATTTAGACATCTCTCAAGGCAAAAGAACAGAATATGGTTCTCCTCCCATTCCTGCCTCCTTTATCATTCAATCATCTCCAAGGCTACCACTTTCATTTATTTTCATGCCCTTACCCTATTTTGCTTTTCTGAGCAATCTGACTTGCCTCTGCTGCCCAGTTTGCCTTAGATTTCTTCTGCTCACCTCATTTCCATTGGTCAAACTTTTTTATACTCTTCTCCTTTTTCCTTTACCTTTTCCTCTGTTCTTTCCTTTCCTTTCTTCTTTTATTGTCTCTTCCCATTTTGCTTTTTGTATTCACCCCTTTTCAATCCCCTTTCTGTTTAGATGAATATACATCGTATTAATATTTTTTATAATTTCTGAATGTTTCCAGCACTGAGGAGCTTTCAGTCCTTCAGTCTATAGTGGAACAAAGAGCTTACAACCTCAGGCAATTTCTCCTGATACATAGAAACCTGATTTAACAACGTATCAAACAATAAGTGATTGTGAAGACATCACTAATTTAGCTTACATAAAATTATTTTTTGTATCATTTATCATCTTAATGTTCAATAATCAGTTAAAGAGCTATTGTTACTAAATGCAACACTGAAAGAATAACAATATTAACAACGTATGGTCTGGTGATGACATGATGTCACGAAAATAGTTGGGACCACCCAATTGGATGGTTTAGGGAGTTTAAAGGACCAAATTTTAGGATAATAATAATAATGAAAAAATGGCCCAATTGGACGGGGAGATTGGGTTTTTTAAAATTAGTAATGTTTATTTGATTCTGAGTAAAAATGCCCTGCAATCAGTTGAATTGGAAGTGCATTCAGTGAAATCAAATCCCATCATTACTGAAATGTGAATATGTTACAAAGTCAAATGCCAATGTGACTGTTCCATTAATTTTAGCTAATTAGATTGTTATCAAGCCAATGATTAAACTATTGTATGTATTCTTTAAAAACAAATCTATCAGATATAAGATATATAGTGGATTCTTTTATTTTTTCTGATTCACAGGACAGATAGTGTTTTGTTCTACAATATAAGTACAGATTTCACACTCCAGTTTATTCAACAGAAAGTCATTATGGATTCTATTTTTACTATCAGATTACTAACAATCTTAGGCCTGAACCTGGTTATAAATTGAATTAAATTATTGAGAGAACATAAATAGTAGATTATATTACGGGTCTTATTTTCAGATGTGCGACTATTGGTACCATAAAAATCATCATTATTTTTATTGACATGGTTTGCCAAATAAGTAACAATTCTTTTCTTTGTGTTTCTTTTCAGATGTTTTTAGTGTGAAATCAGGAGACAAAAATGAAACCATACCAATAATGGAAAAGATGGACACCACAACCACAACCACAATAAAAACATTTTCCATTTATAAAGGCGGCAGAAATCTGGGTACTCAAGCATCAAGTTCTTGGTTCTTTAAAATTACTAGCCTTGCAGTTTTGTGGCATTTTGTGTCATAGCTGTATTACATTGCAGCAACTATGCAATTTCTGAGCACCATCATATAAACCTTCAGCCTTATCCAAGTGAAAGCAAACTTAAATTGGTCTCTAAATTCTATGCTCTAATATTATGTGATATGTTAGTTTAATTGCTAAGTATTAGTCTGGGACTGGCTACCAGCAAGCATCAATTTGTACACATTGTCTCCACTGTCTGGAGGTTTTTTTTGGTTTGTTTGTTTGTTTTCATAGCATCTCAACTACTCAAAATTGAAAAAGGATGAAGACAGAAGATTTAAGTAGGTTAAGTTATTGTGATAGGTACAGTTAAGAAAGTCATAAAGTTAGACATTAATATGTTGGCATTTTTTCTTTTACTTGTCAAATATTGGACTGTTGATTTCTTGATCTTTTATGTTCCTTTAAATAATTGGATTTCATTTATATGTCAATTTATATCTATAGGGATCTATGGATATTATAAACAAAATTGCTAGTTCGATCAAATTCTGGTCAAGAAATCATAGCATGCTTGCATTTCTTTATTTCTTTTAATTAGATTGTAGAAAGCATATGGTGTCTTTAATGTATCATTATACAGTAGTTCTTTTATCAATTCTGCAATAAATAGAACTACTTCCCAATTTATTTTAAAACACTACAGAATAGTTTCCCTGTTCATGTTTTTCTTTACTATGTTATCTACAATTTTGTCATGTTGCAAATACCTGGTGAATTAAAAAGAGATAAGTCTTTTAGATGGTCATGTGAAAAATTGTTATTGACTTGATGTTGTAGAGCTAGAATGAGGAACCAGTACCTGTGCTATAATCTTCTATACTGTAATACTAGCCAGCATGGTTAGCAATAAAGGATGTGGACAACTGCTGTTCAGAAACATCTGTATGGGCACAGATTCTTCATCTGATCTATTGCCTATGCTGTATTAAAAGAAAAGCTCTGATGCAGGTGTTTCACGAGGTTCATCTGGATGGGCAATCAGTGGTAGCATGCAGCTGTCAAAACTTGATACAGTTATTTGACTTCCTTCCTCAGTCAATAACAAAATTTGGTGGAACCATTTGATTGTCTTTTGGAATATTTAGCATAAACTTATCCATTTAAAAATTATCCACTGCAAGTCATTAAAGTTAAAGATAAAAATATATTTATTTCTATCTCAACTGCATTTTATAACTGCCCATTGCTTTACCATCCAAGTGCAATATGTCCTCAACTTGAAAGGGATTGCTCAATTCCATGTTAGAGCATATGAAGTAAATAGAATAACTTGCTGCAAGACATCAATTCAGATCTTTGGAAATAAGTACTTGTACACTTCCTGCCATTGGATGCCTGGATGAGAAAGAAAAGATGTCAAAAAGAGGAAAGATATGAGGGGGAGAGAGAAATAGATATGCCATAAAAGGGAATCCTTACTTGTTTGAGGGTTCTGGCTCCACCCAATCAGTTACCCTTTGACACCACATTAGAAGACAAACAAAAGAAAAGACATGGAATTAATCTGTTCTTAAATACCCCTCACAAATAGATGAGTGGGTTTATTAGGATTTATATGCCAGCAAACACACTGTTTTATGGATGTTTGCAGGAATTTTCTCTTATACATTTTTGTATATACTATATGGAATGTGATCCAGAACATGAATATACATTTTCTTTGCTGCTGCTACTACAATCATTATCATCAAACTACCAGAAAATATTTGCCTTTTATCCTAAAAAATATTTTTTTAAAATCTGAACTGCATCTTCTGTTTATGATGATACGCTATGAGATAAAAATATGAAAGAAATGTCAACTTATAATGATACCTTCTGCTATTTAATATTTACTCTCTAATACTTATTTTGAAGAATATTTTCCATGTTTTTTGTAAATGGGTCTTTTTACACTTTCAAGAAAATTAATGTGCTTCATAGTATGGTAAGAAATTACAATCCTACTATTAATTAGATGGAAGAAGACTAATATGAGTAGTTTAACTTCAATCCTTAAAATACCATTGAAAATCTACACACTACACCTCAGTAGAATTAATCATTACAAAGAATTCCAATTTATATTTACTGAAAATGCCAGTAATTCATATCACTAAAAAGCTGTTTTCATGGTAAAATAATTTCTGTGTACAGTTTTAAATAGTATAATGTAAAAAAATGTTTTTATTTACATGTATGATATGCATGTGTACAAAAATTACCTTGACCATTTGGTCTACATAAAATGTATACTCAGTCTAGTATACTAATCCTAGGTACTATCTGATACATTTAGGACAAAAGCATTAAGTACAACAGGATGGGCAACCCTTATTGCTGTTGGAGTTCTGACGGGCACCTCTTTTTTTGTATAATGTTTTATTCTACTTGCTTTTAGGGGTTTCTTTATATACCTTATATAGCAGGATAGAGCACTGCTTTAATGATTGATGGGCTATTTTCAGAAATTAAGTTACAATCCAACTAAATCAAATACTTTGAATATACCATTGAATATAGAAAACCATTTCATAATATAAAATCTCTTCCATTCAAATGAAATTTAAGAATGCTCATCTGTTGATGAAATTGTATGGTAAAATTTTAATTCTCATAGAGATGAATCACAGATATGAGACAATACATGCCAGAATCTTAAAAGTCAGAAGAAGATAGCTTTTAAAAAATAATTCCATAGTCATCAAGCCATTCTGTCTGAAAAAAGTAATTTTACCTTAATTCATGGAGTAATAATATCTTGATGAGAGACAATGAATGGAAATTGATGAAAGATGCTCTCTTATAATTAAGCTCTACAGCCTTACAATACCCAAGAAAATCAATCTTACTCAACAAATATCAAGAGTCCTATTAGGCATATATCAGATTCTAGACAGAAAATTTCTTTTGTAGTATTAAACAGATGCATAGAATATTAAATTCTCTTTCTGGAAAATATCCAAAATATTTCAAATCCATATTGAAAAATCACTCATAATCATTTGAGAATATTTTAAGCTTTAGGCCTAATTTAGTGAGTATATTTTAAAAAACCATGAAAATTCATATGTTGGAGGATTGCATCAACTTTTATGCTGTACTCCTCTGACTGGACATATCTACAGTAGGTGTTTCCTGCTTTCTTCTAAAACACAAATTCACAGGAACTAAATGTAAAGTACATGATATAATATCTGATCAACATTAACTGGCAATTTCATGAAGTATACCAAAATACCATTGAAAAGCAACTATTACTTCACACAGGCAATGCATTAAATTTATATGACAATGTTAATGTAGTTTGCATTTTATCATTACCTTTCACCTTTCTCACTCTTATTAAATCAGTAAGATGCAGTTATACTATTTGTACTTCATATAACACTGCCACGATAAAAAATATTGTGTTGTATAGTATAAGCAATTAACATTTGCTCACTTTATCTATTACAAGGGGCTATATAATTTGTCCACTGTGCCCTTTCTGTGCACCTAATTAGAATCAGTGTGAAACTCTATTCAGGTGATAAATATTTAATTGGAGGACCCAGGAAACAAAAAAAAGGAATGTGCTCTGTATTTTATACAATTTTTGCAGTAATACATAATGTAATATGCTCTTCACCTAACATGATATTTTCTCATGAAATGCTTTTAAATATCTATGTTAAATGTTCTTGTTGTGGTCTACAATAATTCCAATGTACCTTGTTTACATTATACATGACTATATTTCTGTCTTTAAAGCCCTGTTTGAAGAGCAGGACAAGTAATGAATTCTGTTTCTAGAATAGAAATAATGATCCTGTCACAACATCAAATATTTTCTATAGGCCACATTACTTTAAAATTCTTTTAAGTGAAATATGGGCTTAGCAGTGCTGCCTCGGATATTGTACCAAAAGTTGGAATAAATAAACTATAAACAAGTTAACAAAATAGTAACAGTATCAATGAGTGGTAGAATTGGAGAAAGGTCTAGAGCCAAGATACCTATCTATACTATGATTGTGGTGGATGAACATAATTGTTCCTTCCAAAATTTAGTCTTAAATTCTTAGCAGGAGTGCATTTAGATGAGTATGCAATTAGAGTATAGAATATGTTTCTGCTTATTCCTGATTTTTTATAGATAAAAACATTTATCTAAAAACATTTTCTGTGTCAGGTTCTAAAGCGGTAAGTCTAGCTACTTTGTCATGAAAATAGAAAAAGGAACAATTTAACTCCATAAAATGTTTGGGCCATATCTTTTGCTAGATTTAAACCTAGTCCCATATTTCTATCAAAGGTTTCTAAACAGTTCCAATACAAGCCAGGAAGCAGCTCTGCTTCCTTAAGTTTATCAAGATCTCTTGGGTTTTATTAGCTATTGTCTAAAATATGTCATTATATTTAAGATAGGCATACAATACAATGCATTCTTGTACCGTGGTAGTCTGGGCAAGGAGATAGAAGTCTCTTAGGATTGAATATGTAGACTCATAAGTAGTATGCTGGCATGAGAGAGTAGCTGCAAATGACTGTAGAGAAGATATTAGCAAATTTCTTTAAAATTCAGAAATCTGAATCCAAAATCTAAAATTAATTCAAAACAAGAGTCTTTAAGACCCTAACCCTTTAAGGCATAGTGAATTCTATGTTCCTAGCCTCAGCTGATATCAAATTCATGACCTCTAACTATTGAACAGTATAAATAGGGGAAGAAAAAATGTTTCAGTAATTCTGTTGATTGAAAAGAGTTTGTGCTGATGTATACATTACTTTGAGTACTGTTTACAAAATAATTGTGTTTCTTATTATTACTACCCCTTTAATAACTGTAATATAAGTTATTTTCCAGATTAAAGTCTCAACAAATAGAAATTAAATGTTTATATACATTCTCATGAGATAATTTTTCTCCTTGCTTTTTATAAGACATACATATAACATGAGCCCCAAAACCTTAGTTTTATTTAATCTATCTTATTGTAGATTTCCCTGAAGTATACAATTTTATGCGTTGTAGTGGATAAAAATCACAGCACTTGTGTTATTATGTCATAGTAACCTCATCACCCCATCCATGGAAATAGTCATCTTCCTCTTCCTCCTCCTTGTCTTCTCTTCTATCTGTTGATTCAAAGAGCTCAGAAAAAAAATAGGATGATCCTGGAGCTAACCAGTTAAAGTGAATTGTTGATTTGGGTTGAACAGTTCAGCTATATGTAACTCTGGCAGAGGAAAGAAAGCTAATAGTATGCTAAGCATACATGGGAACAACTGAATTTATGCCTTTAGGATTCTTTGCAATGGAGGCCATTGTGCAAAACTTGCCTTGAGTTCAGGAGTATATTAAATTAATAGAGTGCCACATATTGATTGTATAGTTCTCATTTACTTATAGTGCTGGCATGTGTGTCAAATCCAACTAAAAAGGTATGCATTTTCCAGGAAACCATTCCCAATCCTAATCAACAAAATGATTTGGTCTCTTTTTATTTAACTCTGTGATACCTGGGTAGAAATGTCGTCACTTTTTGTGTCTGTGGTCAAGTAAAATGTTTGCTGTTTCACACCTACACCAATGCTGGAATCTTTTATTTTGATATAATCCCATGGATATAGGCACTGCTCAATATTACATGCTTTTGCTGTCAATATTTGTACTCATGTAAATTTTGCATTGTGTTAATTTTAATTATGCCACATTGTGATTTGAATTTCAATTTCCTAAAGACCATCTCTTTAGGAAAGGACTTTAAAATAGCATTTTGCACAGGGAGGGCTACAAAGACTCACAATCATTTGATTTTTAGTATTATTATCAACACTTGAAAGTGGAGATATTAAGTCAGCCAGGCAGAAAAAGACTGGTGACATTGAGAAATGTGCAGTAGAAGTCTGCAGAATTAGAAAAGGGAAGATTGCAGTAATCTGTGACACAGATATATCTATGAATCATTGTGAGGAAAACAGTTTTTTGAATTGCTATCTTGAATTGCCAATTAAT